CTGAGATCAGAGAAAACGGAATAAACCCCACTCTCTTGGCTTTTCCTGTTATTAAAACACATTTTATTTCAATGTAAATATATCACTGTATTAACTTATAATAAGATGATATTGTTCATTGTCATTCAGTTAATTACTAATGCAGTTAATAATGGCATATATAAACCTCCCAAGAATTTCCTTGGAGTTCTCAATAACACAAAGAATTGTATAGCATTTCTAAGCACAGAAAGTTTGAGAACTACCTAGAAAGAGAACTACATTAAAACAATGAAGGATTAACTACACATCAAAATTTAAAAGCTTAATTGGCATATGCATGTGAGTTTTCAGAGACTGTATGAACCTAGGTTTTCTCAAAACAAATGAATTCAAGCTTCTTAACAAGTCCTAAAATGTCTTTTTAAGACAATATTATTTCTCTTATTTTGACTTTATATATGGCCATTAACTTTAGTTTCACAGCAAATATTGTGTGTCCCTCTATTTGTAGATATTCAATCGAGCATTTAAATGATTAACTAAATAAACATGAAGATGATTTGTTTCATATAACCTAAGAGAAATCCAAAGTCTTTTTCAAAAACTTTGAAATGAATTTAAGATATACTTGTAACATGACATCCAAGTCCCCCAATTTGAAGATATATACATTACCACAAGTGAAATCATTTTTGTAACAGCATCCGCAATTCTTATTTTCCAGTGTTCTTCAATGTTTTCTGGCATGGGTAAATAAACATAATAGGCAAATAGAATGCCCAAAAGCCCAAAGCACAGAGTTTTGTGCACCATGATAAATCTTTTCCAAACTTCTATGTGGCGACAGTTTAGCCTCATCCCTTATATAAACTTCTAGAAAATATCCAGATGAAGGGAGAAGGGAAACTCTATTGTAATAGCGCTATGTTGGTAATACTGACTAGTCTTCATTTCTGAGATTAAGTCACTGGAGTAGCTGGTTATGCAACTGTACTTCTTTGTGAAACTAAATTTACTACAAACGTGCCTAATTAAATATGCATCACCAGTAATCAACATTATGATCACAGCTAGTTCTTCTTCTTTAACTTTTCATTTTAGCAAAGCATAATTTAATATCCTCATCAGAGGAAAAAATAAGACCACATAGTCCTTTTATCTGATGCCATATTGCAAGAGTGTTGACAAGAGTTTGAAAACAAGGTAAAATGTGAGATAGCGTCTAATCAGTCTCAAGGCTAACGCCTACAGCAGAGAAGTTTGGGAAATTAAAATACACTGTGTCAGGTGAACTTTAGACAACTAGAAAAGAAAGTGATGAGGAGGCTGAAAACACTCTGAGAGGAGTGACCTCCCATGTGCCTGCTGTCAAAGTCAACCCACCCTAAAATATTACATTACTTTTACATGTTCTCGCCTCTGGACTAGAACATACATGGGACTCACAGGCCTGTCCTTTCTCCCATCTAGTCCAGTGAGACTTTTTTTTTCTCACATTTTCAAGAGCAGAATGTGTCATCAGGAAACAAAAATAAAAATCTTTTAGCTGTCTGCCTTTTTAAATATCGGAATATTTATCAATAGAAAGAATGTCAAGGAAACACAAAATTGGCGATTTGTTAGATGGTGTTAGTAAGGAACATAACCATGAAGACACGAGGAGCGTGCCAGTAAAATTTATCTCAGCTGATTTCGAGAAAAACAAAAGGTAAAGGTAAAGCACGGCAGATGTATCTTCAGTGTTAATTGATCTAGTATGTGTCTGGTTTGATTCTCAGAAGCACAAGAGAGAACAAACAGGGAAGAAGCTGGAAGGGATCGAGGTTGAGCTTTCTTATGATTTATCTTTCATTTATGACAAATGACATGAAACAATTCCAACAGCACAGTTAATTTCATGCTGTATCATTGCAGAAAACAAACTACATACAGATTCATAAATGCAAAAAACAAAGATAAAGCAAAAACTTCTGAATTCCAAGAAGGCCCCTCAAGTTTCCCCGTAGCTGATAGAGTCACATGTTATCCTACTTATTAATCAAGCAACAATTTTGTACTTCTGTGAAGAAATGGAATTTCTTCATGGAATTAAGCTTCCAAACAAGGGGGCTTCAAGAAAAAGGAACTAGGGAGTGAGCCTAACCTAACTGTATAAAATCCCATAGAGCAAGAAGTTCCGTCCAGACAGATACAAACCAGAGTTGGGATAGAAAGGGGAGATCAGAAGAGAAGCTCCTGGTTGGCAAGTAGCAGTCGAGAGGATCACATGACACAGGAAGCAAACACCTTCTAAAAGTAAAGGTACTCCCAGCCAAAATCCTGAAAGAAAGAAAAGAATGTGGCATGGTGGGCCCCATCTGCAATCCCAGCACTAGGAAGCTGAAGAGTGATAACTTTCAACTAAACCTGGGCTGCATAGCAAGCTCCAGGTCAGCCTTGCCATAGGGTAAGATCTTTTTGAAAAGAATGAAGAGACAGGCCAGAGAGATGGCTCAGTGTTAAGAGCACTGACTGCTCTTGCAGAAGACCCAGGTTTGAATCTCAGCACCAACACAGCTGCTAAGAATTATCCATAACTTCAGTACCAGGGGATCGGATGCCCTCTTCGTTCTCCACAGGCACTGCACAACAGGGGTGCACTTACACACATGCAGGCATAACATTCATACACATAAAATAAAAATAATAGAAAAACTTAGAATATAAGAAATAGAGACAGGAAGAGGCAGAGAGAAATAATGAGAGACATTGACTGAGAGACACATGGGGAGACAAGAGAGACAGAGAAAGGTACTAAAAGCCCTTAAATAGCAGGATGTATCAGTTCTCCAAGCATGGAAAACTATAGGGACCCAGTAGAACATTCAGAGGTCTGCCTCTAATTAACTACTTCTACTGCTTGCTTCCCACTTCCTGTCAGTTGCTGGCTTCAGTTGCCACCAGGCAAAAGTAGAGAGATGTGCCTGTGGGTCTCAGCTCTCTGAGCACAGGCAGAAACTGTTGCAAAATTGTTATTGTCAATGGATGGGAGAGGGAAGGGGAAGGGGGTTGGAGTATCTCAGCTGTTGCTGCAAAGCTTTGCCCACAGCAGGGAGGTTTCCTGCTGCTTTCCTCAGTATGGCCTGTGTATCCCTGATGAAGTGGGCACCTGGCTATCAGAAGGTAGGCAGCTCCTATCAAGGCCAATAAAAAGGGGTGGGGCAAAGCAGGGTCAGGTCTCCTACTTCCATTACTAGCTTATTCCCTTTTCCCCCGTGTGTACTTACAGGGCATTTGTCTAAGATCAGGTGGATGTAGTCACATGAACTTATACGTGTGCCCTTTGTTCTAACACAATCTGTTGTCATTTTTTGTCACTATCATGCTTGTTTTATTACTATGGTTCTGTAGTGTAGCTTGAAATCCAGTGTGATGAAGCTTCTAGTGGTGTTCTTTGCCCCAGGACTGCTTTGGTTATCCAGGGTCTTTTGTGCTTCCAAAGGAATCTGAGACATTTTTAAAGAACTGGAATTTTGAGAGAATTGCATTGACTATGTAGTAGATTTTGATGGGATGGTTGTTTTCACAATATTAATTCTTGAGATCCATAACTATGGCTGGCTGATCTTTCCATCTTTTAATGTCTTCTTCATTTCCTTTCTCCAAGGTTTTAAAGTTTTTATTACAGAAGTCTATATATATATATATCTTTCTGCTGATTTTTTCCTCAGTATGTTGACTGTTGGTTTATAGAAAGTCTACTGATTTTTAGATGTTAATTTTATGACCCACCTCTTTGTTGCATGTTCTTATCAATTCTAAAGGTTTCCTGGATGAGCGTTTATTGTCACTTATGTATAGGATCATGTCATCTGAAAATAAGGATATTTTGATTTCTTCCTCTATTGATATCTCTTTTATTTGCTTCTCACATCTTATTACTCTAGCTAAGTCTTCTGGTTCTATATTAATAAGCATGGAGAAAGTGGACATCCTTATCTTTTTCATAATATTCTGGCTATTTTACCCTTTATTATGTTGAGGTATATTCCTTATCGTGTGAGGAATTTTATCATGAAAAGTGATAGATTTCTATCAAAATCTTTTTCTGTATGCAGGACAACCATGTGATTTCTTTCCTGGTACCAGATATTAATTCCTTTTTCTGGACAGGACCTTAAATCTAATCACAAAGTGTTTCAGTTACTACTGGACTATTCATGCCACTGTTGCACCACTGGGAATATCTTGCCAAGGTATTCATTACTGTAGCCTACAGAGTTCACAGTTGGGTAACTCTGTTGAATGCTTTTCTTCCCCAGTAACATAAACAGAACTTTGCGACACTTTGAAAGCTAGGCAGCAATGATGAAGCTTCCAAGTCAATATCAGCTTGATTTACTCATGTCCTTTGACTCAAATATGTGGTATAGAATTTTACTGGCAAATTATGGGCGGTAACTAAAAGCATTGGTAATATCCTGTAATGTTTGGGGGGACTACGGGACCCCACTGACCAACAACTCAAAAAGAGGTAAGATATACCTGGCACTGGGCTTTTTGTTTAATAGATGTTGGTGTCTTGGACTGGCATTATATCCCTGTTATAAGGTAGCTCCATTAAACTACTTTTATATGTGTACATGTGGACTGGACCTTAGAAATCTTCTGCAGTAGGAGGTTTTAATGGGGCTTTTTCAAAAGGCGTTTGGTGTTAATTATCTTTCCGCATAATGCCTTCTCTAACCTACCTGTCCATCTTTCACCTCATTTAAAATTTCCTGATCCATTATTCCCCTTTCCACCTTCATGGCACCTGTTTTCTAATCCCACTTCCTTGAAAACATCCCATGACCTTACTAGTTTTCTGACTTCTGTGGGTACTCCGATTTAAACACAGTTATCTAAAGACTCCAAATCTCTCATCCACATATGGGAAAGAACTTGTAGCATTTGTGCCTCTGTGCCTGGATTGCCTCTTTCAATACAATTATTTCCATCTCTATCCACTTGTTTGTGAATTTCATGACTTCATTTTTCAGTTGAATAATAATTTGCTGTGTGTGTACCATGTTTTCACCTATTCATTTGTTCATGGACGTCTAGGCTGTTTCCATTTTTGAACTATTGTGAATAGAGCAGCAGTGAACATGCATGAGCAAGTATTTCTTTGGTAGAATAGTAGAGTCGTTTGAGAAGATACCCAGGAGTGATATAACTGAATCATACGGTAGATCTATTTCTAGTTTTTTGAGGCCCTCCATACTGATTTCCATAGTGAATGCACCAGTTTGCACTTCCATCAACAGAAAGTAAGGGTTCCCCTTTCCCTCACACCATGCCAACATTTGTTGTCATTTTTTTTTTTTTTTTGGTTTATATTGGCCATTCTGATTGGAGTAAGATGAACTCTCAATGCAGCTTTAATTTGACTTTCTGTCATAGCTAAGTATGCTGAACATTAAAAAAAAATTTCTCAGCCATTTGTATTTCTTCTTTTGAGAACTCTCTGTAATTCCATGCCCAATTCTTTAATCGGTTTGTTTATTTTCTCGATGTTTAGGTTGTTTTAAAGTATTTTTTATTATTTTTATTCTTTGTGTATGTGTGTATTGCCTGTATGTAGGTAAGTGCACCATGTTGTGCAATGCCTGCGGAGGACAGAAGACGCTGTCAGATCCCCTGGAACTAGGGTTACAAGACAGTCGTTAGCTGCCATGTGGGTGCTGGGATTCAAACCTGGGTCTTCTGCAAGAGCAGCCAGTGTTCTTAACTGCTGAGTCATCTCTCCCTCCCGGTGTTCTTTTATAGTTCTTTTATAGTTCTCTATATAT